GGGGAAGGAGAAGGATGAAATAAAAAGTATATGAAAGGATATAAGGGAAGAGAAAGAAAGCGAATATAGTTTTACTGGAGTGCGATGAAATGGGACGGTCCGGTTTAGTGCCGACGCCATTTTGCGGCTCTGCTTCTATCTGTAGTGTTTGTTTTTGCTTTGTTGATTTCTGGGAATGTTGGGTTGTACTTCGCTCTCCCTCTCACTCTACTTACGTGTGTGCATGCATTTGCAGCGAGCGCGAGAGCTGTATATAAGTTCTTTGCCTTTCATGGCGCCACTGGGGAGAGTGTATGCGTACACACGGCACATATATAGTTGCTTCTGGGGCTCTAACTTTGCTACGCGGCTGCGCGCGCCTCGTCGTTTTTTTCTCCACCGTTTCAGAATTACCGCAGGGCGGCGCGGACACCTCCACTCTCTTCCCTGCATTGATGCTTTTGCCTCTTGCCTGATGTCGCCTCCTTTTTGTTGTTGCTGTTGTTGCTTCTTTTGGTCCCCGACCTTCCACGGCCCCGTTTTTGCCACGCCTGTGCCTCGCGGTGTGTGCCTCCGTCGTTAGCCAAGAACACACACGCATATATAGCTTTATATATCTGTAAGTGGCGAGTGAAGAGAAAGCGGGGGAAGGGAAGACGACGCTGAGAAACAAGCAAGAGTACTGGTTTACATCGCGGCTTGCTGCATTGAGGAGTGGCAACGGAAAATGTTTCCCGGCGGCCTTATTGTTCCCACAGTGGCGACGGCGACTGTCGTGACGCCGATGCTCTGGGTCTTCTTGGCGGCGGAGAAGCACAAACACACGCCGCACCGTGTAATGCCCTCTGTGAGGGAAAGCATTCTGACCGGCCTGGCTGGCACGCCCGCCTCCAGGGCACCAGAGCCTTCGACGCCACCGGCATCAAAGCCACCGACGCCACCGGCACCAAAGCCACCGACGCCACCGGCGAAAGCACTAACCGTGACGCCAGCAAAGGCAGAAGCAGCGACTACCGCGCCTCCGCTTGGCGACACAGCCGCCGTTGCGCACCTCCCTGCAGCACCCGTGGCAAAGCCTAAGGCAGCCCCCACCGCAGTCCCTAGTGCAAGCGGCAGGGGGCATCCTCTAACCGCCGCTCTCACGAAAGCACTTGGGTGGGCTCGCTCGCACTCACTCACCATTTTGAGTGCCACTGCCGTTGTGGGCTTCGCACTGTTCAAGACGTACGTCACATACACCCGCTCCACGATCCGGCGTCGCATGATGTCAACTGATGACTCGCAGAAATTGCAGCTGTATGTGATCGCAAAGCCCTCTGCCCACCCCGGCGTCTCCGCGCCCTGTGCCACGGTGGAGAATTTCCTGCGTCTGGCGAAGGTTCCCTACGAGGTGCACACACTTAACGACGTTCGCATCTCCCCAACGGGAAACCTACCACTTCTTCGGTACAAGGGCAACTGCCTGGACGCCCCGGACACCATCATCGCGTTTGTCACATCGACCTTCAACGTTAAACTTGATAAATACCTCACTGACAAGGAAAAGGCCATCGGCGTCGCCCTCGCGGCGTTGGCAAAGTACTGCGCTTGGTGGTCCTATGACTGGTTGCCCCGCACCGAGAAGCGCAACGTCGTCAAGGCCTTTCTCGTAAAGATGCTGCAAAAAGTAACGATGTCGGATGAGCTGACGCTGAAGAGTGCAATGCAAACTAGGCAGGAGGAGGATCTTCAGGCCATAGAGAAGGTTATAGGTGCCAAGAATTATTTACTGGGATCTACTCCCACCAGCTACGACTGCGCCTTGTATGCCTTGTTGCTGCCGCTTGCCTCACCCAACGTGGGTGGGGCAGCGACGTACGTGACGAATAGCAGAGTACTCACGGGCTACATGAAACGCATGTCAAATTCCACATTGACTGCGCAAAACGGGGAGAGTCTCCACACGAATGGGAAATCGCGCTGAGGAAACGGGTGTGGCAGTGTCTCTCGGCTCGTCATTTCATCTTTTTTCCATACGAAAACAAATGAGTATCATTCTCTGTAGAGAAGGATGCAAGATTTTTATTTTATTTTATTTTATTTTTCCTGTTGCTTTGTTCTTCTTGTTTTCCTCTGTATCTGAGACCTGGGCCGGTTAACGTGTTCACTAGTGTGAGTCGGTGGTGGGCCAGGTCTGTATGCATAGGATGATGTTTCAATAGCGAGAACGAGCCTCGAGTCCGTGATGATTCTATCTTATTTATCCATCCCGCTTTCTGTTTATGCTTCGTTTGTTTTCACGCATTCCTGATTTTGGGTCATGCACCCGTGAGGCGGGTGGAAGCGTCATGAATTTTGGGGGCGGCGGGCGAGGAAAAGTGAGCGAGAGGAGGCGTGGGGTATGAAGTGGTAGCAACAAAAGAAACTTAGCTGCATTTTGACTGGTGGGGGGTGGGGGGTTGGTCGCCCGATGAGGCGTGGGGGGTAGTTACGACTGGGGTGTCTGAGCCTGTCACACCGGCAGGCTCTGGGACTAGGTATCATTGCAGAGATGCATATTTGTATGTATGTGTAGCAACGCAATCCTCTGCGGTTTCATCTTAACTCTTATTTGTTTGTTTGTTGTATGTGTCTGGTATATAGAATATATA